GATCAGCTGTTTGTCGGCTCAGCGCGGCAGCCATGTAAATTTAAATGAAGCCGCGATCATTTAAATCGCGGCTTTCTTTGCCTTTGCCAAAACAACAAATCTACATGGCTCCGTCGACGGAGCCATGTAGTTTAGACGTACCCCTATGAATGAGTTTAAATCATTTAGTTCTATTATATCTGGAAATACAATACTTATCTTACCATGTACTCAGTTTGGAGGGGAAGAAGGGAAGCATGGGTTTAAAAAAAGAGTAGCATGAAACAGGAAAGGACACTTATGTGGTAGTCTTTTGCAAAACAGGTCGATATCTAGTCACAAAAACTCAATTATCCTTACCTTTCGCAACATGTCATTCTGTTCCACATTATGTATTTTTCCAGGGCTTATTTCTCCTTTAAGGGTATACTCAAAAAATTTTCCACTGACATTGACCAACAGTGTTGTAAAAGGTCTATCCTCCTGCGAGCAGCTGAATGGCTTGTCATGGCCACTGGAGGAGGGACTACCATATCTCAAGATCACACCAACAATGAGTCCTGAAAGACAAAATGTTTGGTACGTCATGAATCCAACAGAAGCTCTGAGTTTCTAGGTTCAAGCATCAACCAGTGCACAACACAAGGAAGGGAACTTTGGGATACACACATTTTGTAGTTAGCAACTGGGTATTGCGGTTCCTAAACTTGGGATGCTCAAAGTCAGAATTGAAGACCCTCATTTCAATTTATCTGAATAGCAAAATTAAAAAAAAATTGAAATTATTCCTATTTCTTTCTATATACTTTTTTATCATGGGAATCATTTAGAATGTTAAATTGTGCTTAATCAGCTAATCAGGTAGCTGATGGAATTTCCGTCGTCTAATCAATTAGTCAATAAGGGGGAGGGGGAAACTGCAGAGCTGCAGTGGGGTTACCTCCTGACCTCAGGAGCTATAACCTTGCTGTGGCTCTGCCTTTTAAATGTAGTAAGATCTGGGCAGCTCTATTTAAAAAGTAGAGGCGCAGCAGGGGTCCAGGCGTGAGCTGGGACAACTGAGTCCTGGCTCGCACTGGTCTATCGCTGCACCTCTGCCTCCCCTGCAGAAACGGTGCTAGGGGAAACCGGCTTTTAAGCTAGCTCACCCCCCAGCACAGGCTCCTGCTCTCTCCCCCCCCCCCTTGCTGCCTCTATCGAGGCAGAAACAACTAGTGAAGTAGTGACTTGACTACCCTAGGCTTATCAGGTAGCTGACTACTCAATTAGTCACTTACATTCCTAATTTAGAATTGTGCTGAAAGCCATATAATTGTAACAGAGAAAATAAACCACTGCACTTTGGCAGCATCCCACAGAGATACTAATGCGAACATATCTATTTCAGAATAGTTTGCAAATTACTGAACTGAAACACATACATCTATGTACACAGTATTTCTCTGCAGGAGAAAGCATGGAAGCGTCATTGCTATCATTCTGCCAACTCACTGCAAAATTTAGCAACCAATCATCCAGACAATTTGCACCAAGAGCCAGCTGCATTTCAGCGAAGCCATGTGCTGCAAAGGATTTCCATTTCAGTTAGGAATTGGTCTTCATCTTTTACAGAGTAAAATGGTATACTGCTCCTACAATACATAGAAACTTGACAGGAAGACAAATTACTCTGCCAGCCCAAATAAGACCCACTACCAAGGAAAGATGTCTAACACAAAGTAGAATGATTGGTACCCTCTCAAATTATAATGTAAAGGAGGATTTATGCAAGGAGGTTGGAGAAGCACAGAATGAAATTGGGAGTGTGCTCCATCCCATGTGTTGGGCTGCAAAAGAATGAAATTTTAATCCAGCACTGAAAATCCACTGGAATTACCTCAGCATGGATCAGAGGATATGTCTACACTACAAAGTTAATTCGAAATAACAGAGTTATTTCGAATTAACTTCAATACACAGCCAAACCACCATTTCAAAATAAATTCGAAATAGTGGAGCACTTATTTTTAATTTGTAAACCTCATTCTACAAGGAATAACACCAAATTAGAAATAAGTGCTGTATAGACACTTACATCGAATTAGGGGGCCTCCAGCCCTTCCCAGTTTCCCCTGGTGACCACTCTGGGCACAACCAGGAAAACTCCTCTCCTCTCCCCCAGCCCCAGAGCCCTTAAAGGGGTAGAGTCTGGCCACTGGGCACGTGCCAGAGCCAGGCTTGCCAGCATCCACAGCCCCTCACCACACAATGGCCACACAAAGGCCAC